CCCAAACTAGGTGGCAGTAGTTGATGTGAGAAAGAAACAGGGAATTGTAAATAAGCAATTTTATATTAGTGGGTAGAAAAAAATCGCAACTTTGTAAGAATGCCTACAACGCGAGAGAGTTTATTAGCAATTATTTCAATATGTTTGTTCCAAACTAAGTGTTCTTCAAATACAACTCCTAGGCTTTTAACTGAGGGCACAATATCCACAGTAGAAGTCCCTATCATAACGGGGTTCTCAATATTTTCTTTCTGATTTTTAGGTCTGAAAAGTACAGCTTTTGTTTTGGACTTGTTAATAGCTAGTGAATTCAACAGGGTCCATTGGTTTAATTTATCGAGAACATTATTGGCATGATTTATTAATTGTTTAATATCGGAAGAATTAAAAAATAAACTGGTGTCGTCGGCATACATAACAAATTGGGTATCATTATCAATATTTATTACGTCATTAATATATATATTAAATAACAGGGGTACCCCGGATTGAATCGCTTTGATATCGGACATCTTGTTGTTTATAACAACTTTCTGGAAACGAAACTGGAGATAACTTTTCAACAAATCTAGAAATACCCCTCGGAAGCCGTAGATATCGAGTTTTTTTAGTAAGGTAACGTGGTTTATTCGGTCAAAGGCCTTTGAGTAATCTACAAAAAACCCTAGTGTTAGCAGTTTGTGTTCAATAGCATGGAGAATCAATTCTTTTTGTGTCAGGAGTGCTGACTCGGTTCAATGACCCTTTCTGAAGCCAAATTGAAAGCCTGTGATTATCCTATGTTTTTCACAGAAAGCAGTCATTCTATCATTAATTAATTTTTCTAGACCTTTTGAAAAAACGGGAAGAATTGATATTGGTCTGTAATTTGATAATTCGTTTTTGTCACCCCCTTTATACAAAACGCTCACCTTCGCTAACTGCATACGCTTTGGAAATACGCCGTGTATAAATGACAGGTTATAAATATGTTCAAGTGCAGGACAAATTAGATCTAGGACGTACTTAACTGGACGAATTTGCAAGTCATCGGCGTCACAACAGTTACTGTTACGGAATGAAAGAAACATGTGATAAATTTCTTCAACATTAGTCGGTCCTAAAAACGCACTTTCACGGTTTCTAGCTTTTAGGTATTCTAAACTACGCAGATCATATGTACTGTTAGCCAGCGATACAAAAAAGTCATTAAAAGAGTTAGCTAGCGCCGTTCCCGATGTTGCTTGGCCATTTAAAAGTAACTCTTGAATACACTGTGGGTGTTGCTGGCCACGACCAAGCACTGTGTTCAGTCTTTGCCACGTAATGTCACTTCGTTTTAGTATGTCGGCATTGAACAGGTTGTGAAGATAATTCCTTTTTGCATTTCTAAGAATGCAAACTAGTCACTTTATTACTAGTCACTTTATTACGAAAAACTTTGAAAGCATGTAGATCATTTGAGTCTCTTGTCTGTAAAAACCGCCGATAAAGAGCATCTTTTTGTTTTATTAGCTTTAGCGACTTGTTCGTTATCCATGGTTTCCTTGACTTTTTGCTTCTTGATGCCTTGTGACGAAATAATCTTACATAAACCGACTTAAACAATGTTAAAAACGTGCCGTACGCTTCATCAGGGGTAGTTTTATTATATACTATATCCCAGCATATCTGTGCGAGTTCATTGCGAAATTGTTCTAATGTTTGTGGATTAACGTCCTGAAATGTAAGAGTATGAATTTCTTTATATGATTCAACTATTGCGTTTTGAGTAGTCATGAGAAAAATGGGCAAGTGATCGCTGACGTTCACCCCGATAACACCTGATACTAGTTTTTGAACGTCTATATTTGTAATAAAAACATCAAGTAGCGTTGCAGAATCATTCTGAAAACGAGTTGGCAGAGTAATGGTGTTAACACAAGCGTTTGAGTCTAATATTCTATCGAGCTCACCCTGTGTTGTCGTCGCGTTTAACATTAATATTAATATCGCCACCTAAGACCAGGTTATATCTATTCTCGTTTACCCAGCACAAAAAATCATCCAAGAACAATAGGAAAGCAGATATGCTCCCTCCAGGGGGGCGGTACACGACAAAAAAAATGTTTTGATTGCACATCATAGTTAAGATTTCAAAATCGTCCGTTATTTTTGTAAAATGTTGAATTACGTTGAATTTCAATGTGTTCTTTATCATTAATAATATACCACCCCCCTTCTTGACAGAGCGGTTAAGGTACAGAGTTTCATAGTCAGGCATCCTAAACACTTCATTATCCTGCTGATACCACGTCTCGGAAAACATCACAACATCGAAAGAAAAGCGAAAACAAGAAAACAGTCCCTCCAAGTCATTGTCCTTATTCCGAGCAGAGTGTGTATTCAAATGAAGGAAAGATATACACTTTTTTTTAGTTCGGTAGATTTCAGTTGCGTCTGATGGCGTCAACATGTTATCAGACATGTCTGCTTGGGGCAGAAAAGACGATACCTGAGGTCAGCACCTATTGGATCTTGTCCAGGTCCTGGGTGCAAGTTACACGCAGCACACGCGACGTGTCTGTCTTCCTTGCAAAGACCTTGCCTTCCCTCGACCAAGCGTACTTTCATTGTTTTTCGTTCTTTCGTGCGATAACCTGACCGAGCAGCTTCTTGAGCACCGGACATAGATGGTCATTTACGTAAACGGGAGAGCGGCCTGAAAGACCCAGGTCAGAAGTACGAACTCGCTTCTTGCGAGCCCCCTCAATCACCGCATCACGTTTCGCGCGAGAATGAAATTGTACGACGATGTTTGGGCATCCTCCGTCTTTTCTCGGCACGCGGTGGTAGACGTCGATGTCATACTCGGCGATTGTTCGCCAATAACGTCACCGAGCGTCTTTAGGACAGCGGGTAGGTCTTCCTTTTCAGCGGGCGGAAGGCCCTTGATCTCAATATTCCTGTTCCTTGAATATTGTTCGAGGTCAGTTAATCTTCGCTCTGAACTGTCAAGTTGCTCCCTGAGCAATTTACATTCATCAGATAGTTTAGAGTTTTCCACGGAAAGCGCAGCATTTGCTTTTTTAAGTGATGCATTTTCTTTTTCGATTTTCGAGCAGCGCTGCGACAAACCATCGAACTGCTGACTCACGAAGTCAATCGAACTTTTTAGGTCCTTGTACTCCATTTTAAGTTCTTTCTCGATTACCACCTTCATGTCGCGAATTTCTTGTTTAAAGTCCTTCAAAAGTTTTATGACATTAGCCGTCATGCTGATTACTGACAAGCACTTTCACAGTGGCAGCAACGGCGGGAAAGGTAAGAAAATGACAAGGGAATCCCAGCAAGGAGCTAGTGCACCAACCTGTGATTAAGATGTGCAGTATAAGTACGTAGTCAACTGCCGCCGCTGCTACCAAATGAAGACCCGGTGGTTGCCGGCACCGCTTTTGTAGCCGGTGCGCTGATGGAGTAGCCAACCACAGTTCTCGAAGCACGAAACGTCACTGCACAAACCGCGTCAGCAGCTCACGAAGATGTTAGGCGTGCGGCGAGGCAGATGTGCTCCCACGACGAGACTGCCGCGACAGGCCTCAGAACCGCTTTAATTTCTTTTAGAGCGCAGCTCTTAGGCGCCCGCTTCCGGCTTGAGCAGCGTCGGCGTCGGTGTAACCAAGGTCACCCCAAGGTCACGTGACCCCAGTTCACCCCCAGGTCACGTGACCCCAGTTCACCCCCAGGTCACGTGACCCCTCTCAAGGTCACGTGGCCCCTCCCAAGGTCACGTGACCCCCAAGGTGACCCCGAAGGTCACGTGACCCCCCCCCCCCCCCTCCACCCCCCCACCCCCCGAAGTCACGCGACACCCCCCCTCCCCCCGAGGTCACGTGACCCCTCCCCCCGAGGTCAGGTGACCCCCCGGAGCATATTAAAGAATGAGGGGAGGAGGAGGAGAAGTAGGAGGACGAGGAGGGGTCTACCCTCCCCCCAGTACCCTTCCCTCCTCCTCCTCAAGAGCTGCGCTCCAATTCGCCGTTAGAGGTAGTTGTAAACGGCTTTCACTTTTTTTAAGGTCAACACTTTTTTTTTTTTTGTATTATTTAGAGCACTGGAAGAACGTAAGATATTTTAGAACCTAATAATATTGTATAAATAAATTCTCGCTTTTTATAATTTTTTTTTATTATTTTAGTGAAAATGCAAAAACATGCCTGAGAAGTACTGGGTGACCTTAAACAGTTGCCTTCCGTTTCTACTTGACCCAGACTTGTCAGAATCAATTTCTTTATTTAATGTTCTATTTACACCTGGCTTAAATGTTGTGTTCAGGCTATTTATGGAAGTTATTTGGCCAGTCTAGCTTTATTTTTGAGGGCTTTCTATGTCCTCAAGCAGATACATAACTGATGTTCACTTCCCTAGAATGAATGTGCCCTTACAAATGTGAAAATAATCAAAATTGAAGTGCCTCTCAAAATTATCTCGGGTTCTGTTACTTCGTGTGGTTCTTTTTTCTAGAACAAAGTTTATTTCAGCCTCAAATTATATCATTATGATCTCCAAGGAAGATATATCGTTCTTATGTATTACTGACGACCCATCATAACGTATATTCATAATATTATGTTCTTGTTGTATATTCGTCATAAACAAATGTTGCGGTTTTATTAAACACATCTAGGTGCAGAACCAGTTATATCCCTCTGTTCGAAGCTCTACGCACGTTCAAAGCAGCTTTTTGCAACTCCAATAGCGTGCATTTCATCGCATTTCCTTTGTTTTACGTTTCAGCCGCCAGTCCGCGCCAGTTTTCGCTGCACACTTTGAGGAGCGGTAGCTCTTCGATTCTATGTTTCACCTATTTTCCGATAAGTGGCGTGGTCTCCTCTGGAGTAACGAATTGACAGTGGCGCAATCATCCACCGATTGCCTATGTTTTTATAAAAACTCATTTAGCAAAAAAAAAAAGATTGACTCAGCGCATGGATTAACTGGACAAGCGTGCGATCGAACGCTGTATTGGGACGAACATGCAGACTGGCGAATGCATCTGCCTCGACGGCTACACGGGCGAGAGATGCCAAAAGCCGTGCCCAGCGGCTACGTGGGGAAAGAAGTGTTCCAAGAGCTGCCGATGCCCCGAGCATCCCAAATGTGATCCAGCAACAGGAGCCTGTTCGCTATCCTGCCCTGACGGTTTGACAGGAGCGGCATGTGGACGAGGCAAGTCGTTTACAGCAAATCCACGCACAATTCACGCTCACCCTTGAGCGTTTTCATCTGAATGAGCATCGTGCCGGCGTGCGGGCGTGCATAACTACTGTGTGATGCACATTAAAGCCAGGCTACGTTTTTCATTTACAACGGAGACGCCAAACGACCATTCCGGCTGACTAGCGGTCTAAATATAAACACAGCACAGTTACTTAATCGTTCGTTATGTATTACTGTATTACTCCTCGAGGGCCCTTACGGGCAGGCAATTGAAGATTGGAATTCACTGTCGAATGAAATCGCCACGCTTTCATCACTCACCAGTTTTGATAACGCACTTCATCCGATATACGTTTGATCACATTTTCTGTGTGTATTCATTATGTATATATTGTTATGAAAGTTTCCACTTATGCTAAGGCTTTCAACTGAGAGCTGCAGTTTCGATTAAATTAAATTAATATATTACACAAGGGGTGGGGATGCTGCAAAGCGTTTTTATGGGAAAGCAAAGAGGAACTTGGGCATTGTAGGTTTCATGAAAGCCGACAATGTAGGTTCAACATAAGATCAGAAAAAAAAAGTGAAAGCCGTTTACAAATCCCTGTAACGCCGAATTGGAGCGCAGCTCTTGAGGAGGAGGAGTGAAGGGTATTGAGGGGAGGGTAGACCCCTCCTCCTTTTCCTCCTCCTCCCCTCATTCTTTAATATGCTCCGGGGGGGGGGGGTCACGTGACCTCGGGGGGGGGGGGGGGGGGGTGTCACGTGACTTCGGGGAGGGGGTCACGTGACCTCGGGGAGGCGTGACCTGGGGGTCACCTCAAGGTCACGTGACCCCCAAGGTGACCCCCACGTGATCTTGGGGGTCACGTGACCTGGAGGGGTCACGTGACCTCGGGGGTCACGTGACCTCAGAGGGGTCACGTGACCTGGGGGTCACGTGGGGGTCACCTTGGGGTCACGTGACCTTGAGATAACCTTGGAAGGGGTCACGTGACCTTGGGGGTCACGTGACCTCGGGGGTCACGTGACCTCAGAGGGGTCACGTGACTTGGGGGTCACGTGACCTTCAAAGGGTCACGTGGTGTCATCTTGGGGTCACGTGACCTTGAGATGACCTTGGAAGGGGTCACGTGACCTCGAGGGGTCACGTGACCTTGGGGTCACGTGATCCCAAGATGACCCCGCATGACCCCCAAGGTCACGTGACCTTAGGGGTCACGTGACCTTCAGGGGGTCACGTGACCTTCAGGGGGTCACGTGGGGTCACGTGACCTTGAGATGACCTTGGGAGGGGTCACGTGACCTTGGGGGTCACGTGACCTTGGGATGACCTTGGTTACGCCGACGCCGACGGCGACGCCGACGCCGCTCAAGCCGGGAACGGGCCCCTAAGAGCTGCGCTCTAAAAAAAGAAAGGCTCTTCTAATCCTATGGGTGAAATCTGGAAACACGGAATCTGCAGTGGATGTTGGGCTGAGCCAAGCTGAGCTGGGTGTTTATGAGGTTTGTCTAGCTTGGGAGCCACGTAAAATCCGCTACATTTATAAAACTTTAGCGTGCCAATTGAGGTTGCCCGCTAGATTTGGCGGGGAAACGCATTCCGCTAAATTCAGCGGGACGTAAGCCCGCTAAATTAGCTGTGCTACAGTTTTGTTTTACACTTTTGACTTTTGGGCCCATTTCATTTTTTGAAACCCTATCCTACCGAACACATGTTTTATAAAACTGCAATGTGATAAAACTGCAATGTAACGTTATTGAATGAGGTCTTTATCGTGCTACAATCAGCCATGACTACAGTCAGTGCCTTGCAATTCACATTGATTGGTACAGAAAAAAAAAACAAGTTACAACATGCTGACACATTTATAGGAGTTATTAACCCCGAAGATGCTGTGGTGGCTTTCTCTTTCTTCTTTTTTTAGAGCGCAGCTCTTAGGGGACCGTTTCCGGCTTGAGCGGCGTCGGCGTCGCCGTCGCCGTAACCGCGAGGTCACGTGACCCCCCCGAGGTCACGTGACCCACTGAGGTCACGTGACCCACTGAGGTCACGTGACCCCCTGAGGTCACGTGACCCTATAAGTCACGTGACCCCCTGAGATCACGTGACCCCTGAAGTCACGTGACCCCCCAAAGGTCATGTGACCCCCAAAGGTCACGTGACCCCCAGAAGTCACGTGACCCCCTTGAGGTCACGTTACCTCAAGGAGTCGCCTACCACTCAGTACGCTTCCATCTTCCTCCTCAAGAGCTGCGCTCTAACCGGCGTTACAGGGGATTGTAAACGGCTTTCATATTTTTTTCTTTTAGAGCGCAGCTCTTAGGGGCCCGTTCCCGGCTTGAGCGGCGTCGCCGTCGCCGTCGCCGTCGGCGTAACCAAGGTCATCCCAAGGTCACGTGTCCCCCAAGGTCACGTGACCCCTCCAGGTCACGTGACGCCTCCCAAGGTCATCTCAAGGTCACGTGACCCCACGTGACTCCCAAGGTCACGTGACCCCTGAGGTCACGTGACCCCTCCCAAGGTCATCTCAAGGTCACGTGACCCCAAGACCCCACGTGACCCTTTGAAGGTCACGTGACCCCCGTCACGTGACCCCTCTGAGGTCACGTGACCCCCGAGGTCACGTGGTCTCCTCCCAAGGTCACGTGACCCCAAGGTCACGTGACCCCTCCCAAGGTCATCTCAAGGTCACGTGACCCCAAGGTGACCCCCACGCGACCCCCAGGTCACGTGACCCCTCTGAGGTCACGTGACCCCCCTGAGGTCACGTCACCCCCCGAGGTCACGTGACCCCCCCTCCCCGGTCACGTGACACCCCCCCCCCCCCGAGGTCACGTGACCGCCCCCCCCGGAGCATATTAAAGAATGAGGGGAGGAGGAGGGGTCTACCCTCCCCTCAGTACCCTTCACTCCTCCTCCTCAAGAGCTGCGCTCCAATTCGGCGTTACAGGGATTTGTAAACGGCTTTCACTTTTTTTTTTAGCTCAGCTTAGGCCAGTGGCCAGCCTCTCTTATGACTTCTTTCCGTGATGTCACGACCAAGGTTTTTTCTCACCGTGACGTCACTAGCTGAGTTCCTGGCTACTTATCATCTGTTGTGAACCATAAGTGCGAGTATGTCAAAAGCACGATGGTAGCTTTGAGTCACCACATTCATAAGACCAACATCGTCAAAATTATGAGTTTGACATTACGCTTATTTCCTTCGATTAACACAACATTAGTCCAGCTAAAGAGGTCATAGTGAACGTCTGGCCAATTGTGGAATTCAGACCGAAGCGAAGCTATTGGTCGCGCACGAGCTGCCTCGTAGTCACAAATTATTACGACACTTCCTTCCTCATTTCATATTCCCGGCGGAAACGGAGATAGATTGATACTCCAGAAAAACTGCGGGAGAGTTAGTGCACACAAATTAAAGACTCCTTTCTTCTGTTTTAATTATTATAACATGATGACTTCTTAGGCTATCCTCTGAGCAGATTTCTATCTCGGTTTCAAGGGCATCTAAACGGACTTCAGAAGAAACTCCTTTGAAGTTCGGCGAATTAGCTCGCAATCTCGGCTCTGCACGTCCCCATACAAACGCTGGTTCGCCATTCTTTTTAAATGATTTCTGCTTAAAGGTTCTTAAGCTGCCTGTGAAACAGGCATATTAAAGTCACATATGTGAAACTTCAGAGTTTGTAGATTTGTTTCAGGCAAATTTAAATGAGAGGGCTGCTTTTCTTTTCGCTCTACCACTCGCGCGGGTGTATATCTTCTACAGTGGCGTGAAACTAGGTAAACTTTGACGAAAGAAAATAGGAATCTTTTGTATTAAGGTGGCGATGCAAGCGAGTTGGTTCATGAGTTAGGAAATTGGAAACAGCGCGCAAAAAGTCGAAGACAACGAAGAGAAGAGCACAGGACAAGCGCTGACTATCAACTGAAGTTTTATTAAAAACCACACAGCCAACCAACGCCGAAACAACCAATGGCGTGTCGCTTACCATGCATCTATAAATTCGATCTCTTTTTTGTGCAGATAAACCGAAGGCTGGCTGAAACAGTGCCCCGCGCCAGCTTTTTCGATAGCATGCGCCTCCAGCACCTCTTTGCACTTTTGTGCGCCCCCTGCCAATGATTAAGATATTTTGGAAGACGGGGTGACACTGGCTGTCTCTGCAATGTACGTACAAGTGACCTCCTGTCATTGACCGCAGGGAATTCGCACGCATTCTCTCGTTGACGCAGCGTCCCGATTGTCCTATATAAACCCATCCGCATGACAATGGAATTTTGTAGATGACACCCACAACACAATCCACGAACTTGTTGACATGCTTAACCGTACATGACATCTTGTTACTGCTTGCCTGGTTTACGCGCGGGCAAAGTTGTGCTAATTTTTGAGGCGTTGAAAAAACCATTGGCACATTGAACCGGTTAGCCACTTTTTTTTTAATTATGTGAAACCTTATGTATATAAGGGACAACCTGAGGCCTTTGTTTAGGCTTTACTTTTGGTTCCTGAGAACTGCTCTTGACTTTTTGAAGACTGTCTGAGAGACACCAAGCAAAACGGAAAGAGGAAATCTTGCACCTAAAAGTCGCTTGACTTGAGCTTCATAGCTGTCAAGAATGGCATGGTGACAGGACCTGTACAGTGAAGCTTGGAGGCATGACGTGGCCATATTTCGTTTCATAAGTTTAGAGTGGGCGGAATCGTATGGCAGGATTTCCTTCTTGGTTCGCGGGTTGTAGCTCCAACACACATGTTGCCCAGTGAATTGCAGCCGTAAATCCAAAAACTGCAAGTACTGACCGTCTTGCAGTTCGTAAGTGAACTTTAGGCCTGGAGAGCAGCGCTTGAAAACGGTCATTACATCATCTACAACCTTTTGCAAAGACAATCTGCCGACACTCCTTAAGAACACCAGATAATCGTCAACATATTTGTATATCTTGCACACCTGTTGACACAATGCCGTTTCCAAAGACCTATCGAGCTTCGCTAGGTAAA